GGCCCAGGCCTAGGACCGATCCCAAGCGTGGGCCCAAAAATTTTTATATTTTTTCAATATAGCCCCCTGACAAATTACACAAAACCCCCTGTTAATTTAAAATAAATATAAATTACAAGGGCTAAAAAAAATTTTACAAAATTTATAAAAAAAAAAAAATTGGTTATAACCGTTGGAGCAGCCAATGGTTATATTTTTTTTTTTAACCGTTGGCTGGCAACGATCACATGCAGCCAACGGTTATAATATTAATTTTAACTTCTTTTTTCAATTCTCTCTCTCCTCCCCCCCCCAAAAAAAAACACTATAAATAACCCTAAAATCTTTCATTTTTTTCACACCAATTAATCTCTCATTCTTTCATTCTCTCAATCTCTCTACTCCAAATCTCCAATCAATTTTTCATTCAATTTATATTTTTATTTATAATTTATTCATATTATTTATTTATATTATTCAATTTTTTTCTATTTTTCAATATCATCATAATTTCATATTATTATTTAATTTCTTTTCGTTTTAATTATTTATTATTTTATCATAAATTTATAATGTCTTCCCCAAATTATTTTTACGTTCCATCCACCGAAAAAATGGAAGGCTTCAATCCATTTTCACCATTTCCTCTAGAGGAAGTAGTTGCAATTCCACAACCACATTCGGTCGGGATGAGGTGTAGCCAAACACATGCAAGCTGCGAGTCAACGGGCACTGGCATAACCCAACCCCCTTGACCGTCAAAGAGAGTCGTGTCCGATGTATGGCGATACTTCACCAAATCAAAACGGCTAAAGACAAATGGGGAGGGGGAAGAATCGTGTGAGATATGTAATTTCTGTGGAACCATTACTGGCGCTGAGAATGAGACTTTGACGATGCGACAACACGTGGAGAAGAAGCATCCCCAAATAGATGCATCTTCAAGCGGATCAGGTAGACAAATTCAAACTCAACTTAATTTTAATCTACAATCCTCAACTCTCTCAACATGGCAATACAATACACATGTTGCACAAGAGGAAATAGCAAGATATATAGTTGCTACGGACTCTCCCATTTGTTTATCTGAAAATCCTTTTTTTATTTATATGGTTAAAACTGTATTTTGTCCAGCATATACCCCTGTTAGTAGAATTACAATTAGAAGAGATATACTAAAACTTTATAACAAAATAAATAATAAACTTAAAAACGAATTTCAAAATTTTAGGAATATATCTATTGCACTTACATCAGACATATGGGCTTGTAGATTAAAAACCGATTTGTTAACTGTCACAGTACATTTCTTAGATCATAATTGGAGTTTACAACAAAAATTGATAAGTTTTAAACCATTATATGAAAAACATAGTGCTAAAACTATTTATTTTACAATTCTTGAAATTTTGCAAGAATATTTATTAACTGATAGAGTTGTAGCACTAACGCTTGATAATGTAGCTGGTGAAGGCAAATTTTTTCACTAGAGATGTGCTTGCCACATCATCAATTTGATAGTTAAAGCAGGTTTAGATGCTATACATTCAAAGATGGAGAGGGTGCACAAAACTATCAGATTTATCGTCGACGGTAGCAATAAAAGATGGCAGAAGTACGTCAAATATTGTAAACAAAAGGAGCCACCGGTTCAACCTTTAAAGTTATGTACAAACATGCCTATCCATTGGAACTGTACATACTTGATGTCGGAAAAAGCTTTGCCAACCGTGAAACAAATTACAGATTTCGTCAACTGGAAAAATCCACAGGAAGTTGTTAGCTATGATGATTGGACGGTTTGTGAACTTTTTTATTCATTTCTTAAAATTTTTTATGATGCTACTAATACATTAAGTGGTATTTATTATTCAACTATTAATTTAGTGTTAGATATTTTACTTCAAATTGCTAAAACTTTTGCTCAATATAGATATAATAACATTTTACGTGAAATTGTTTTAAATATGGAAGAAAAATATAAGAGATATTGGTTAGATATTCCATTCTTATATGGATTAGGCCTTTTTCTAGATCCTAGGTTTAAATTACCCGTAGTTGACGGTGTAATTACTGAGATAGGCCAGCATTTAGGATATGATTATACGTCTTATTTGATTGACTTTAAACAAAAATTGGATATATTTTTTTCTTTATATGAGAACAAGTACAGTGGAAGTGGAAGTGGAACGTCTAGGAGAGACGATCATGACTGTGATGTAGCCCTCCCTCAATGATCGAGCAAGTGGACGTATATAGAACATGGCGGAAGCTCCAGCTCATACATACATGGACCAAATGAGCTGACTCGCTACCTACAGGTGGACCTAACCTTTATGACGATGAAGGAGCAACTTGACATGGATATTCTTCAATAGTGGAACCAACATGAAAGTCGATTCCCCATTGTATCCCAAATGGCACGTGACATTTTATTTGTGTCGGTTTCCACAATTGCATCCGAGTCAGCATTTTCAACGAGTGGTCGGATTGTTAAAGACAAAAGATGTTTTTTAACCGATGAGATGATTGAAGTGATAACATATTTACGGGATTGGACTCATGCAGAAAGAAGACTACAACAGCACCTTGAAGATCCCGAACTATTTGATCTCTTTAGGAATACAGATTTGAATGATGTAACTAGTGTTGACGATGAAATTGAAGATGAATAATATAATATAAAAAAATTATGTAATTGTTTATTTGTGAAGTGTGAATGTGTGAAATGTGAATATTACATTTATGTTAAAAATTAAAATTAACTATTAATTTATTATTTTTTCAAATTAATTAAATTTTTAGAAACTTACTAATCAACCCATGAAAAATATTAAAAACCCCCTATAAAATTTTATTTCGCCCCTAAAATACAAAAAAAAAAGATCGGGGGGGAAAAATGATCAAGCCTATAGGACCGGTCCCTACCAGGCCTTGGGCCTGGTCTGGGTCCTAATTTTTCTCATGGGCCTGGGACTGACTGATCCAATTTGGGACTAGTCCCAAAGGGACCAGTCTCAAACGGGCTCAGGCATGGGCCTGCTTGGGACCGGTCCCTGCCCATCTCTAGTAAAATGGATGAACAAGATGATAGATACAAGGTAGAAAACAAACATAACATCAATGACAATTTTTAAAGAAAAAGAATAGTATATTACCTACTCCTTTGCTATTAAATGCTGGATGTTGAAACTTGAAGTCTAGATTCTTCAAAAGAGAATAACGAAACTCAAAATGTAATCCACTCAAGCCAAAGATAAGAGAGAGCCGAAAGAGTGAGAGAGTGCCTTTTGTTTTCAATTGTTGCAAATTGAATGAAAATGGTATAACACTTGGTTTATATACCATGGGCACAAAGTGTAATTTTAAATTGTCTTGGGAGGTTCTCAAACAATTTAAAATTAATCTTGGGAAAGAGCATTTATGTCAAGTCCTTGGTTTTATGGTTAATTCATAATTAGCCTAATTTTAATCCTATTAATTATTCTAATTCTTTGGAATAAAACTAATACACTTTTGCACTCATCATTAAATCCAATTCAATAATAATATTTAATAAATCTTTATTACCCTTGGTTAGTGCTAACTATCCATAGATAATCATTTCTCACCAATACACTATTTCGGATGCAACTGTTTACGTCCAAACATCATTAATCCGATAAATGTTATTATTACTCTCTCTTCTTGAGCTTAGTTTTATGTGTAACCATTTTGGTTCACTGTAATCTAGCCGTGGGCCCAATATCAAATTTTGATATGTTTTATTATAACTCTTTATAATTGAAATTCCCACTGATTATGGTAGACGTCTAATAATGTTCCATAATCCTTAAACTACAATGAAGTGTAAACTCCAATGAACCTATTCTGATCGTACGTACCGTGTAGTAAAATCTCTTCGTTATCTAATCCCGATTAAGAATGGTTCATGGTATATCAAAACCCTTAACTTAATCTTTAATTAAATTGTCAATCGATACAATGGAACGCGTCAACATGAAACTACTTTTCATCTGACATTCATTATACTTTGGCCAAAGATTTCATTTTTCCAATGTTTATGGACATTCGTCTGGGAACTCGAGATTGAACTATTTTGAGTTAACGAATCTCATCTTGACCATCACTTGTCCTAGTACATGAATAACATATGACCAAACCGGCTTATTACACAAGACATGACTAGTCTCGTGCTTATACACCATATGAACCATATGCATTCTATGTTGAATTCAATCGTAATGTCTCAGGTCTAAGAATCAATGGTACACTAGCACGATCCGACGATAAATCATTGACCACGTCCATGTGATTCATCGTAATCGATCATTTTTAATAAATAGTTCACTAACCGTTTATCCATGCTAATGTCTTAGTGACATACCTCTTATAATCACCTACACTAATACCATCACATGATATTCGATGGAGACATTCGGCACGCTTACTATGCAATGTTATTGCCCAATTAACATTACTTGCGTAGGGAATTCTTCGATGATCTGATCTTCTGAAGATTTGTGTCATCTAAACATTTCACATGCAATATTAATTATAATATAAATGAAGAAATAAATCAAAATGTGAAATAAGAACACTTCTTTTATTTATAATACATTTACAAGATATAATGTCCTTAAACCGACAAAACGATTGATTTCTAGAGCATACACTAACACTATTGACAGCCAAACCTTTAGCCACATCTGGCCGTTAACAACCACATCTTTGGCCATAGATATGGCAGGAAAAGACCAGATCGACGTATGATCGACCAAATCTAGCAAATCATGTTCCATTTTGGCGACTTCCGGCCACCCTCTGATAATGATGGCCAACTACCAACATTTAATGAGTGAGTGGAAATATTTTTGTTAATTTTCAATGTTTTATTATAAAATGTGTTTAGCTAAATTAACAAATATAGAAGTTTTTTGTTAATTTTCAAATCTTATTCTTGTAATAATAACCCACTCAACTTTTTCAAAAATACTATTCAAATTACTATAAAAAAACACATGAAAGCATTCATATGATGGAATTTGAATGAAAGCCAAATAGATTGGCAGCTTCCGTCAAAGCATTCCTCCATCTCTACAACTTCTCTTTCCTCTCCGTAAATCGTACTTGATGCACAGCAACTGAATTTCTAAAAGTTCCGACTTGCTTCCTTACATCAGATGGATCTACATGATAGAAAACAGGGATCACAATCTGACCGTACATTCTATTGCAATTGAGAATCTCCACGAGTTCTTCCAGGCACCATGTAGGAGAAGCATAACCCTTAGAGAAGATGATGTTTGAAATCTTTGATCCTTCAAATTACATTCAAAAGAGAGGCTGAAATCTCATCTCTTCTAATTTCATCATCGATGAAAGTAATAATCTTTCTCCGACACAAAGCTGCATTGAGGTGGCTAATAAAATTATCTCTAGTGTCCTCACCTCGGAAACTCAAGAAAACATCATACTTCACCTGAGAAGAAGAAGAAGAAGAAGCCATCGCAGTTGGCTTGAAGCAATCGGACTCTTTGTCCTCTCACAGACTTCGAAGCATGAAGGGGAATTTGAAGCTAATTTATCATTTAATTTGGATTTTATATCTTGGTTTTTCCGCAGCCATTTCTTGGAAGTTGGACCGGCTTCCAAATTTTAACTTCTTGTTTGACTAAACAGATAATGTAATTAGCCGAAATTACAGAGTACACAACAAAAATAAACATTAATTACTTGTTTGCTAGCTTATTTTCATTCCACAAGCATAGCTTATTTTCATTCCTGCTGCTATTCAAGCCATGTCCAACGAATAATCTCTTTGGGGATGCTTGTCCACTCCAGTCCACATATCTGCACATGTAACATTAAATTGCCATAAATAAGGTGAAAACCAAACACTGTACAAGAATGGATGGGCAATTCAACATGAAACTGTTGTCTAAGGAAAGGAATAAAGCAGATTAGTTTAGACATTCTTTAAATGTATAACACTATAGTTTTTGCTAGTGGATGAAAACTGTGGCAGCCAACAAAAATGTTATCATAAATGGAAATGTCTCTTAGTAGACACAAATAAGTTGTAATTCTGGTCTATGGAAAACTCATAAGAAAGAGGAAAAAGGTAGATCAGTTTAGAAAACAGCAAATACACAATAACATTTTTTTATATCATTATACAAATGATATTTTGCATTGAAAAGAATATTAGATAAATCATCGACATATTTATCATTGACCAGATCAGTTTATTCTCAAAATTTCAAAACTGTAAATTATAAAAAAATAAAATCAAAATCCAATCTCTATTCTCTAGACGAGTACATTTGATGATCATCTTTCTGGAAAAAGTATAGCAAATCTCAAAAGCTGAGATGATTAATTTAGAAACAAAGAATTAATGGAACCATAATGATACGTTTCAATTGAACTTCATTAAATTCTAAGAAAAATTAATATATCATCGGGTTGAGATTATATAATACATGTACAACATTTGTTCTGTGCAGTATTGTTAGATGGTATTTTTTTGGCTATTTGTACTTTAATTTTATTTTTAACACACTTGAATTAGTTATAATTTTTTTTTTTTTTAAATTAACTGCAAATTTGAATTTTACTCAACCAGAGGAAAATCATTCAGATATTAGTCATAAGGATGAAAGAAATAACAAAATAGTATAGAGATGGAAAGAGCATTACTTAATTGTATCCTGTAAAGAAGGTATATATAATATTTATTATCTTGAGCTGCATTCACCTGATTTCAATCTCTTGGAGTGTGCATCCTCTTGCTCTCCCTCTTCATCAAAGATGGAACATCTGGATCTTTTCATAGGTACCTCAAAACTCTAGAGCGAACAAAAAAAGAATCCCACACTTTTGGGCTGAAATTGATAATGACCTCTGTACTGGAAGAGAATTCACAAAAATCACATGTTCTGCAATTATACCCCAAGAATACATGATCCTTTCCATTTCAGACGAAATCACACTCAATCTCCATGCTACAGAAAAAATTATGAACTTCGACAAATACACAAAAGACAAAACCTACACACTTACGATTGAACGAACCTTGTGGTAGCTCCATAGAAGATCCAAAACTTTGAATGTCAAACCACTCTGGAATTTCACTTCCAGAGAAACACATACAACCTTGATGACCGTCCATAAAGTCAGATGATGTCTGCACCATAAAAAAAGTTAATTTAATATCAAGCATTTTACTTATTAAAGAAAAAGAAAGTGAAATCATATGGGAATGAGAGAGACTGAAATAAACCTTCGTAACTTTCCACCATACAGTTGTATCTGAGTACATTTTCAGTACAGAATCAATCCAAATCTTTCTGAGTGCATACCAGTCAGAATTGGAGCAAGTGGTGAAGTTAAATGTCCTGTTGTAAAATCCATGGCTTCTAATTGTCAAACCTGATAATGCTTTCAGCAATTCACAACACTCTGCATTTAGCTTTTCTGTACTAAACTGCAGCTTTCGTAAGGATGGAAGCATGCCAAGGAACCACAACCTAAAAAGCTTGACAATGCTTGTTGGTATGGTCTCAAAATTGTTTCCAGTTAATTCTAAAATTCTGAGTAAGGACAACTGGCCAAGATTACTAGGTAACTTTGTAAGACTGCAGTGATTCAAATTTAACCAACCTAAAAATTGCAAACTTGCAGACATATGTGATAGCTAACACCCCCATTCTACATTGCATGAGATCTCCGCAACCAATTTTAGATTTCAGCAACCACAGAGATTAAGATATCAAAGAGATTTCAATTTATAAATGCTTCTTGGAAGACTTTCAGGCCTTGAACAGCCCATAAGATTCCATTCAACTTGTTTGAAAGGACATTCAATGGAAGAAAATAATTCTTTTATTGCAGTTCCATCGAAATACAGTTGTTCCATATCATATGAGATACTTCCAGCTGTCTTGAGATTCCAGCAGGTAGAGAGAATAATATCCATATTTTAATTGAATACCAATTGAAAGACTGATGAGGCTTTTGCAATTTATGAGATTCAAATTAAAAAGTTTATTGGGATGTTGAATAGATGGAAGAGCGATCTCAACCAAACTTATCCAGTCTTCTAGAATCGAGCTCTCTATATTTGGAGCGTGTGTGAGGATTGGGATTTTAAACAGATGTTTTGAGCAACTTAGGTCAACATATTTTAAATTGCCGAGATTCTGTAATAGAAGAAGAAATGACAAACATGAATTAGAAAATCTAATATTTAAAATTTGTAAAAAAAAAAAAAATTATCATATAGAATCAAATATACCTTAATACCAGTCCATAGTTGCTCAAGATTGTTGTTGCGCATCTTCAGTACAACAAGGTTCTCATGATAAAATTTCAAAGGCAACTATGTGCAGGGGTAATCATTTCAATGAAGGCATCTAAGCTCTGCAAAATCAAATTTACGGCCTTCAAAACCATGCTTCTTAGTGTTATTGTCTCTATATTTTGAGTTATATACATACTATCAAGAATCTTAGATTATCCATCCCCAAGAAAGCAAAAGGATTTAAATATATCTCTCTTATTTCAGGCATTTCAAAGCATGTGCCTCATATTGTATCACTTCCCTACAAACAAAACAAGACGATAAGTTAACAGCACAATTATACAAATATATATACCTCTCAAACCCCAGCCCATTACCACATAAACTGATGCGTACGGAAAAATGAAAATGATAATCTCCTGGATAAAACTTTTCAAGATTTCAATATTAATATAAAATAGAAATTGAAAGCTAAAGTCTTTTGTACTTACCATATTTTTTCTCAATACATGATAAACATCATTATGATGCCACAATCGACTATGGTTGCCGGGTTTATTAATCGATTCTTGTCGAACAATTTCTCTTCCCATCTCTTGAAGCAAATCATGCATTCTTATGGTGTTGTATGAAATAGTTAAGAGCAATGAGAACACTCATTCCAATATGTGCAGAGCAATGGAGTTTAAAATTTATCTCACAAGACTTTCATCCCATCCTTTAAAGGAGAATGCAATATCTAGAAATAAATATTTATCTTCATCATCCAGTCCATCATGACTTATCTTCAGTATTGTTTGGATATCCTTATGTGGAACCAAGTAGAAAGGAACCCAAGACTATAAGAGCTAATGGCACACCTTTGGTATAACTTATTACTCTATTTGATAGCTCAATGTAATCTTCAAAGATGAGATGGTTTTGTTTGAAGGCATATTGTTGAAAAAGTAGAAGAGATTCATTACTACTTAATCCTTTGACTTCATATATGGTAGCATCATTCGGACCACAATTTTTAAGCAATTGTTTATCCCTTGTTGTTATAAGTTTGTAATAATTCGACTTCCTGAACCCAAGTATTCAAGACCCACAATTAATTTTATATGTTTTAAATGTGTTACATCATCAAAAACAATTAATTTTATTTGTTTTGAATGTGTCACATCATCAAAAATAATTAATTTTACTTGTTTTGAATGTGTCACATCATCAAAAACGATTAATTTTATTTGTTTTCAATGTGTCACATCATCAAAAACAATAAGAACGTTTTTATATCAAAACCTTTCGCAGGTGACTTAACCCGCCGTTCTTCGATTCTTCTCTAGCATTTTCAATGAAATAAGAACCTTCAAACTCACTTGAGATTTCATTGAAAATAGCATTAGCAATAGTTATCTTCCCTACACCACCCATACCCCCAAATTCCTACAATACATACTTCATTCGACAATTAGACAATAAAGATCTAATTTTTTGGATCTTCAGTACTACTATTCCAACCAAGTCCTTATTATCACTCGACGACATATTATTCAATCTCTTCAAAATATCTTTAATGATTTCCTCTATAAGCTCTGAATCAGGCCTACAGTAATAAGAAGAGGTAAAAAGAACAATAAGCAGAATCAAATGAAATAGAAATAAAAACAAAGTACAATTCCAATAGCCCACTTTCGTCCATACTTAAACATGACAATTTTCTTTCAATACGATAAATATCCATATATCTCTTTTATCAATGTTACCGATTACGAATATATAATTAAAAAAAAAAAAATTGACATGATACAAAATTGCCTCCTGAAATTAAATAGATAATAATTAATCTTAAATTTCTCTCTCGAAATTATAGATTAGCACACAAACAGATACAGAAATGAACTATAAAGTAATCATAAATTGGATTATTTTCTCTGTTTATTCACTGTACTTACTCTTAAATTAACAATGTTGACTTGACTGTAAATTTTCTAACCGTCTTGGAAAAAAATTGCCCTAGAACTTTTTTCTTTTCATTTGACCTAACAGATAATATGCGAACAATTAAATAATTAACAAACATTAAATCCTCCATAGCCACATCAACAACCCACCAGAGACTTGCAACATTAAATGCAATTCAAGAGAACTTCTAAATCCACTAAACTTCCAGGAAAATCATAAACAGAAAAAAATAAAATAAAATACAAAAACAAAGGAGCAGCCACCACACCTTAACACAGCCGTGCAGTGCCTCTCGGATGCTTCTGAAGAGAAGTTCCAAATCCACAAAACTTCCAGGAAAATTAAAAACAGAAAAAGAGAGATTCAAAAACAAGAAAGAGTGGCTGCTTGACCCGTTATCCTCTAAACATATCTTAAAGCCAAGGAAAGCATATTAAATGACTTTAATGACCCCTTAGGCTTTGTTAAATGACCAATGCTTCCCTAAAGATTTGAAAATAACAAATAACCCCCTGCTATAGCACTATTAGTGAGCCGTTGCCCGTTAAGCATTTAAGCCATTTTTTTGTTATTTAATCAAATCTCAGAAGATTTTTGTTCTTAAATCTTAATCATAACTCCTTAAATACATTTTTACTGTTATTTTAAGTTTTTAACACACAAAACTTAACAACCTTATAATAATAATTTTTTTGTTATTTAATAAAACCCTGGAGCAATAATGTCATTAACTCGTATTAAAATACAAAACCCATACATACATAATCTCATAATATTTTTATTTCCATAACTTATATGTGAAACCATTTACTTTAAAGAATGATATTCGCTTGAAACTCAATGAGAGTTTGATTGGGCACTAAGTTTTGAGTGCTGTCTTTTTTCTTTTTTTTCTTTTTTCACTCTAAAAGACTGAATTTTTAGTGCTAGAGTATTGATTATAAAAGGTCAAAAAGTTTCACTTTTTGTTTCAATATGGAAGGAATTATATTACAAAATCTCTTTTAACTTTATTTTTATTGAACCAAAAGCATAATCTATTGTGATTATAATGAATAATAAATAACAATCATGGATGATAATTTTCAATGAAAAATGGAGAAACCATTATAAAGGTTGAAAACACATTTCCTATAGGGTTTCAAAATTGTTTCTCCCGTTTATAAGCACTTCCTTTTATGTGCAATTACTTTTTGTAACTTTTGTAAATGTATAAAGGTTGTTTAATTGGTACCTGTGGCCAAATGAGCTTATTTAAAACAGTAATGCTACATGTACAAACAACTCTTACAAATATTTATATACAAACTCATGTGGTAGAAAATGAATATTTATGTACAAACTCATGTGGTAGAAAATGAATGGAAGAGTTGATACAAAAAGTCAAACTCATTATGTTCACTCTTCTATTCATTTTCTACCACATCAATTTATATACAAATTTTTGTAAGATTTGTTTGTACATTTACCATTATTGTATTTAAAACTATAAATACTATTGAAATATTTTTAGTCTATTTGGTTGTATTTCACAAATGCTTATACGAATTAAAATAAATTATTTTATGATTTACGAGAGAAGTTCAAAATTTTGAGCTTTTCTTATGAACTTTCTTTAAGCTTGTTTAAAATTATTATGCTTGGAAAAGTAGGGTTGATGCAGAGTCTTGTCAGCATGGGGTGGTCAGATCTTAAGAAGGTTCCACGACCACTCAAATGTGGCCACGTCGCGTGATGACATGAGTGGCATGCTCTTGCCAGTACAGTGGGTGAACGTCAGGTTGGCGAATAGTTGAAAATGGTCCATGTGTCCAATCCCTGCACGAGTCAAGGAAATCACTCAGACAGGTGAGCAAGAGGACGCAGAGAAATATTTGCACAACATCTAGCCCATTTGTAGATTTAGTAATCATTACCTTGATTCATCTCACTATAAATAGAGATATTCTCTCTCATTTGCGGGATTGACTAATTTCACTCTAGAATAGCATACCCTCTCTCTCTCTCTCTCTTGTATTCTCTAAGTTGTAGCTCAGCTCGCTGAACGCGATCTAACCTTACTCTCATTAATACAATATTAGTAGATATAGGATTCGTCTTTGAGCATCTGAACCATTTTAAACATTGTCCTTCACTCTTTACTAAGTTAAATATCTCCATATCACGTGTGATCTCTAAGCCTGCTTAGCATTTCCCATGTGCGAGTAGTTGGTGTCAAAATCGTGTATCAACAAAAATGTTAAACTTTCATAAATACTATTATTTTATTTTATAAATTTGAGTTGATTTATTATTTTTGGTAAATTTAAACTAGAAAGCCCTTTTATATTTTTCTACCTAAACAGCTATCGATTTTTTCACTAAAGTTTTACTCTTATAAGCTTTATTATGTTAAGCTCTTATTTTATTTTTTATAATTTTTATTCAAAGAAACCGTATCAAACATATCCAAAATCTAATTGGCACCTTAGAAGCCAATTGAGAAACTTATAGTGGCCTCTTGAAGTGATTTGATCCCCCATGCATCAAAGAAGAACAATTTTCTTTTCTTAATTTAGGAAACACATAACATTACTCTCGATTTTCAATTTCAGCTGTTAACTTTAGCGGAATAAGGGTATTCTCATCAATTTACTTCAAATATATTTTGCGGCCACGTATGACGTAACCATTCTTCTCCACCCACTCGCACATCTCCTCTACCCTGGGCTCCTCCTTCTCAACCCGACAATTTTTTTTTTTCTTCTATTATTGATTTGTAGATTTGTTCATTCATTCATCCGTTGGTAATGTAATTTGTGAATTTACTTTAAAATTAACACATTAAGAGTCTAGAAAGAGTAATTGATCATCATCATCAAAGGCGCTTACCAATTTCCAAGCCTAAGCATCCCAGAGTAGATGTTTGGAGTACAAGAGCAAAATGACTAAGATTAGAACCTTGGCATGAATCAATGTCGACATGGCATAGTGGCAGTTTTAATTTCCACTCGCAAGTGCCTAGGGTCATGACTATTTGTGTCCAAGCCTTGTGTCACAATCCTATTATTTGGACACAAAGGATTATTAATAAGCCTAAATAAACTCACGAAAAGAAATAAGAACATGAAGAACAAAGTAGAGAGAAAAATTCTATTGTATTGCTCTCAATTGAATACAATGATTGTAATTAATTTAAATAATTATATAATTTTATATAGGAGTTTACAAGTAGATCTGACGATCCAAATTCGTATATATCTATTAAAATGGATGGCTAAGATTAATTATACAAACAAAATAGAACCCTAGTCTTATTTTGTTGTCTTTTTTATGAAGGAATGTTCTAATTTATACTTTTGGGTCAAGTCTAAGTCGAGCCTTTTAATATTGGATCTCGTACGGATTTAGGATTGAGCCAGACGTGACACATCGGCAAGACTTGTCTTACCTATACCAGTCATATCCCAAATTCCTACCTTGGTACTTCCCTCACCCCATCAAACAATAAAGATTTAATTTGTGAGTTATTATTATCACTATAAGACATATCATTCAATCTCTTCAAAATATGTTCAATAATTGTCTCAATAAGTTTCGATTCATGCCTACAATTGAAACAAAACGTAAAAAACAACAATAAATTAATGAAAAAGAAATAAAGACAATTTTGGTTGGGACTTTCCAAGAAAAGCTTATGGCATATATGCACTTATAGAGATAAGAAACTATTAAATTAAAAATGTTTTTTCCAACCTCAGATCGTGTAGTTTTGTTATTATAAAAGGGGAGAACAACATGTTCCAACCCAAGGTTTGGCGAAACGGTACTTTTCCATCTTTTAAGTTTCAAAATGACACTTTCTTACCCTTCGTTAGGTTCTATTATATTTTTCATTGTTATTTTACTGAAAATATAAAAATACCTTTAAATATTTGACTTTATAAATTTTTATTATTTTTTAACTAGCCAAAATGTCAAAAAAAAAAAAAAATTGTTAATCTCACCTAAAAAGTTAAGAGTAATGTTATGGAATTGTTTAAAGTTAAATGACTTTAATATTTATTTATTTATTTATAATGTCATCAATATCTCATCACTATTATTCAATAATCTATTAAATTTATAATGTTTTCATTTTTACTAATTAATATAAAAAATCAATATTTCTAATTAATTAAATAAACAAAGGAAAAAATTGTATCTTTACACTTGAACTAATAAATAATTGAGTAAAGACTTTGACTTAATAAAATTTTAATTTATAATAAACTAATTAAGAAATAAACTATTTAAGGGTATTTTTGTCTTTTCAATCAAATGTTAACAGAAAACACTAACCGAACCTGACGAATGGTGAAAAAATGTTATTTTGAAACTTGACAAGGGGAAAAGCGTCGTTTCACCAAACCCTGGGTGGGAAAACGTAGCTCTCCCTTATAAAAGTAGTTGTTCTGTAATAAATTACCAATATGGCAAATGAAATATATAATTGATTTTACTTAATTATAACATAAAGTAACAAAATGCTATTTCATTTTAATAAAACATATAACGTGAAAAAATAAGAATAATTTAAAAATAATTTGACTAATAAATATATCAAGATAAATGATGTTGGGAAGTTATATAATGAAATTCAATGTGGAAATAATAACAAAATATTAATTGATTAACAGTTTTAGTAGAGAAAAACATTGATTATATGACCTTCTATGTGAGTAATAAAGCTTATAAATAAAAAATCCACTAAATAAATAATACATATCAATTTAAATTGAATTTAAATATGAGTATGCTGGTCTTCACCTATTATCTTATTATAATCCATAAATCCTTTTTTTTTTTTCTTAATTACAGTTTCATTCTTTACAAAAATTATTAATAAGACAAAAAAGAATTATATACACACCCAACCAAAAATAAACTCATGTTAACTATCTCTAGGTAACCTAGTGATTTGATATGGATTCTTGGGTATATTATTCAAGAGGTCCTAAGTTTGAGTCCCTCCTCGGTTACTAGTAGAGGTAGCCACTGAAGTTTTACCCAACTAATAGTTATAGGACCCCGAAAGATTAGTTGAGGTGCACGTACACTGGCTCAGACATTCGTGATCATCAAAATAAAATTTTAAAAAAAAAATCCTCGTGTTATTATTTTAAAAATCCTATGTCCCTTATAAACATAAATCCTAATCCTATTTTCAAACAACTAAAATGGAATTTTGTAAGAAGAACCAGATCAAGTGCAATAGGCACCCCCCCCCTAGATCAAGTGCAATTGTATTAGGGGTGGGATAAAAAATCGAAAACCGAACCGAACCGGTAACCGAACCGAAACCGACGAAAATTAGGTTTTTTACAAACCGGTTCGGTTTTCGGTTAGTAAAATT